CAGCTCCCGCCTACGGGAAAGGCGCCAGCCATCTGCGGAGCCCCGAGTCCCGATGCGGTCACCAGGGAGCTAGGGGCGGGAGGAGCCCACCTGGGTCTGGGGCCACCCGGCTGAGGGAAGCCCGGGCTACAAGCCTGGGATGCGCCCCAGGACGGGAAATCGACTGAGGAAACCCCTTGTAAAGGAGAAGCGCCCCTGAGGAACCACCTGACTGGGAGACCCCAAGGCACCAGTGTAGAGGCCTACTTCCGCTTCCGGTTTCTGCATGCGGGAGGCGGGACACACCAAGCAAGGGACAGCCCAGGAGCTGGGATTTGGGGTGGTACATCCCAGCAGGATTGAGGCCTGCTTGGGTGCTGTCGGAAAATGATGGTTTTTGCAGGGGCTGAGGGTAAAGAAAAAATAATCGGGTCGATTGGAAAAGCAGAGCATGATGGCGACTGTCCTCTACTGGAGAAATGCACAGATCCAAGTTGAAGAGCTATGCGTGCTCTCAGCTACCTTCCAAGAGCTGAGGAAACCAATGCACCCCTGGTAGGCTGAGGCCAGAAGGTCAAAAACAGTCTGGGCAACTTAGTAACACCCTGTCTTAAGATAAAAACTTCCAACCTGGTGCACACCTGTAATCACAGCAGCTCAGGAGGCTTAGGCAGGAGGATCACAAGTTCAAAGCCAGCCTCAGCAAGGGCAAGGCCCTAAGGAACTCAGTGAGACCCTGTCTCTAAGTAAAATTCAAAAATAGGCCTGGGGATGTGGCTCATTGGTTGAGTGCCCTTGAGTTAAGTCCTCAGTACCTAAATAAATAAATAATTTCCAAAAAGGGCTGGGGATTTAGCTCAGTAGTGGAGCATTTGCCTAGCCTGGGTTCCTTCCCAAGTAGGAAGGCAGGGGGTGTTAAGGAAACCAGTTGAGAGACCATAGTGCCTGCTGTTAGTAGAACAAAAACAAAAGGTGTTTGAAGAGGATACAAAAAAGAGTTGCCATCCTCCTCCATCTCTAAGCAGCTCAGCATGGAGAGACACTTTCCACCTAGGCAAGGGAGAAAGAAAGAAGTCTAGGCCTTAGATTTCAAACCCTTTACCAGGCCTGGGTGAAACCAGCTGCCATGCTGGCAGGTGGCACAGCCTGTAAACCCTGTAATTCCAGCAATTTGGAAGGCTGAGGCAGGAGGCTTGAGAGTTCAAAGCATCCTCAGCAACTCAGCCAAGACTCTGTCTCTAAATAAAAAATAAAATAAAGTAAAATAAAACACAGATGGGGACTGGGGTTGTAGCTCAGTGGTAGATCAGTTGCCTTGCATGCGTGAGGCACTGGGTTTGAATGTCAGCACCACATAAAAATAAATAGAGATATTGTGTCCATCTACAACTAAAAAAAAAAAAAAAGAATTTTTAAAGTCTGGAGATTGGCTCAGTGGTTAAGTGTTCCTGAGTTTAATCCCCATTAAGAAAAAAAAAGAAAAAGAAAAACACCACCACCTATGGGCATGCACAGTCCCACAACTTCCAATACTAGCTGAGTGAGCTTGCTGCTGGAACCTTGTTTGCAGTGCACAGAACTTCTCCATCACCCTTCCTCGAAGAGTGGCCAGCTGAGGAACAGGACTACCTCCACAGGAGAGCAGGTCATGAAAGCTAGTAGGGGTCTTTGTCTTGGAGCTCAGTGCCAGGCCTGCAACTATGAGACTGAGCAGATTAGAGACCAAGGCCCCCATGTAGGCCCAAGCTCACAGATAGATCTTCTAGACATGAACCAGCATCAGGCAGATTTCTGCATGCCACCTGGGATAGACTACATCATTCAGCCTATATCATCAGCAGCCTCCCCAAAATTGTATCTGTCTTCTGGATGTGAGACTCAGATGTGACCCAGCTTAGTGTCAGTCTTGGGGTCCATTTCTATCACCAGTCACCCAGTCTCAGGCAGCACAGCTATTGTGAGGCCAGTACTTACAGATGAGGCTCTAGAACTTCTTCAGCACCACAGACCTATGGGATGAACTAATTTTTCCACCATCATTACCACCAGCTTCAGTTTTGGAAGTGTGAGAACTGGGCATGATCCAGTTAAATACCAGCCTGGGTGGACAAGGGGCTGCCTTTGTTATTGAAGACAGGATCTTCTGGCTTGAAAACAGGAATGAGACCAAGTCCAATATTGTGGGCACACACCTGTAATTCCAGTAACTTGGGAGCTTGAGGAAGAATTATAAGTTCAAGGCCAACCTGAGCAACTTAGCAAGACCCGTCTCAAAATAAAAAGGGCTGGATATGTGCCTCAGTGGTAGAGTTCCCCTGGGTTCAATCCTCAGTACCTAGTACCAAAACCAAGAACAAAAACATATATATATTTTGATAAATCATAAAACAAACACCAATATAAATAGAGACATGATTTTTTAAAGTAGCATGTTGAATCTAGCAAAATGAAAAGGCTAATAGACCAATATGTACAAATTTACTTTATTCCAGTAATACATGTTGTTTTACCAACTGAAAATCAAAGAATGTATAGTTCATTTTGTTAGAATTAAGGATTTTTTTTAAAGACCCTGATACATGCAGAAAAGGCACTGGATAAAATCCAATATCAATTTGTGATTTTTAAAAACATTTGACAATCCAGGAACAAAACAGAATTCCCTTAATTTGATAAAAGTTATCTATGAAAATTTACAAGTAGCATTATATTTAATGGTGAGATGTTGAATACTCTTTCATACAGGAACAAGGAAAAGATATTCAATTCATGACCTCTATTCATTAAAAAGACAAGAAAAATAAATAAAAGGTTTAGAAACCTGGTGAGAATTACTTGAGTGAGTTAAATTTATGTCACTAGCTATAAAGCTGATGTAAGGAAAAGATATTGCAAAGGTATGTATTAATCCAAAAATTAAAAATACAAAAATTTACAAAGCAAAACACACCACGTATCTAGAAATAAATTAAACAAAGGCATTGAAGACCTCTACAATTAAACTACAAAACACCTTCAGAAAAGTTAAAGACAACCTAGGTAAATGGATTGTTGTATCATGTTCATATTGAAAGATGCAATTCTGTAGAGATGTCAATTTTCCTTAGGTTATTCTATAAAATGGACCCTGAATATTTTTATAAAAATTAATAAATTCTAAAATGAGAATTTATTATTAGATTTCCAAAAATACTAACAAAGCAAAACAAATTAAGATAGTATGGTGCTGCTGCAAGGAAAGACAAACAAACCAAAACACAGATTGCCTACCTAAGCAGAGAGAAAACATGATCTAGTGGATAAATCTGTACACATACACCTGCATCCTATCTCACACCCTATCAAACAAACAAACAAACAAACAAATACTTGAAATGGACACCAACCTGAATACAAGAAGACAAACAATGAAGGGTCTCGAAGAAAACACAAAATATATTCATTATATTGGTCTAGGCAAATACTTTATAAAGAACACTCAGATCTCTACTTATTTTTATGTTCTGTAAAGACTGAGAGCAATTTTTAGCAATCTAAAAGACATATGGCATCTGACATTCTAAAAGGGTTTCTAGGAACAAACACTGGGTAAGTTCCCAGACTTTGTATTTCCCGATGTCAGCATAAGGTGCAATATTGCCCCGATTTTGAGCCCCCACCTGCTCACAGCTGCCTCTCTCTCCTCTCCATGTGCATCATAACTGCCAGGGCTCTATGATTTAGGGGTACAAATTCTAACCTCAGTTTCTCAATGAGAAACTGGGAGCTGGTCCTAAACAAATCAGAGTATTAACATTCCCCTGACCATGGTGGACAAAATAATCAGATTCCATTTTTTTTTATTATTAGTTGGTCAAAACATTACATAGCTCTTAACATATCAATTTCATACATTTGATTCAAGTGGGATATGAACTCCCATTTTTACCCCGTATACAGATTGCAGAATCACATCGGTTACACATCCATGTTTTTACATACTGCCACACTAGTGTCTGTTGTATTCTGTTGCCTTTCCTATCCTCTACTATCCCGCCTCCCCTCCTCAGATTCCATTTTGATAATTATATTGGAACTGTTCAAAAAAAGATGTCACTCTTCTCCCTGAAGCATTATCTTGGGAGGAAAGCAGCACAGAACTTCTGAAGCCTACTGTGAAGAAAACATCCCAGCTGGAAGAAAAGACAATGCAAAAGGATGCACAGCCAAGACAAGGAGACAGACAAATGCACATCTTTTAGCCTCAGGATCCAGATTGAAGCTTAGTTATAGCCAAGGACTTTTTAGCAGCAAGAAAACACTTCAAAAGAAAAAAGGAAATAAAAATGGGTGAAATGCTTCACAAAGTAGCCTAATAAAGACATCCAAATAACCAATAAACACACCAAAAAGTACTCAAAATCACGACATATCAGGAAAATGCAAATTTCAACAACAACAAAAAAAAAACATACCACCACACACTCTGCTAAAGAGCTAAAGTTAGAAAGTGTGGGCCCAGTATGCAGAATAGCCAACACTCACATGCACTGCTGGGGACTTACTGGTGAAACTAACATTTTTGAAAATCTAAAGTATCTACCAAAATATCCACAATTCAAGTCTACCCTATCATTCAATAATTGCATTCCCCACATATAGCATATACCAAGAGAAATAAGAGCAACCAAGTGACAAACTAGACATTATGTTGAGTAAAAGAAGCCAAACATGTAACAGTACATGTTGTAGTTTTAACATTTATTTGAAAAGTGAGAAAAAGCACACCAAATCAAGCGTAATAAGAGTCAAAAGCCTATTTCTTCTGTGGAGTGATTATTGAGAAAGGAGATGAATGAATTTCCTGGAAATGTGTCCACCAGGATGTATACATCTATATGAAATTACATCATATAGATGTAGTATATATGTATAGTGTATACATATATACAGATGTAGTATATATGTATAGTGGAGCCCCCCGTGTCCGGTAGGGACACACGTGTGTGTGGACCGGCTTGTTAGGGGGACGCACACAGCCTCTCACAAAATAAAACTTTGTTTCAGTTCCATCTGGCTTGTGTTTTTGTGCTCAGCCGGGTTGCAGGATCGCAAGCAGGCGTGCACTGACAGCGACCCGCGAAAGCGCCCAGCAGGAAGGCAGCAGGTGAAAACAGCAGCGGGCAGAAGCGGAGCCAAGGCTCACGCGGCCCCCGCCGTCCAGCCTGCAGCAAAGCTGTACACAACTTGCACATTAGTGTATGTATACCTTGATAAACAGTAAAAAGTGATTAAGGGAAATGGTATAGTTATGCTTTTAAGAGATAAAATATAGTTTTCTAAAATATTTTTAGTTGTTAATAGACCTTTATTTTATTCATTTATTTATATGCCATGCTGAGAATCGAACAGTACCTCATATATGCTACGCAAATGCTCTACCACTGAGCCACAGAACCACCCCTTAAAATACAATGCTTTAAAAAAGGGGAGGAGGAAACAAAATGTACCTGAAACATCTCACAGCGTTCCTCTTCTCGCATAAAGGCAGTAAAATCTTCCCAGTCTGAAGGTATCAAATATAAATCCTCCTCTACAAAAATAGGATGACGCCTATCCGAGGCTTGCCTCAATTACCAACAGGATAACTTCATTAGCCACAGCTCTACTCACTTTGGGGACCATGGTAGGCTTGTATAGACACTAATCCCATAAGCAGAGTGAAGGATGGGACTGGACTCTGAGCTTGATGACAATCCTTCTGCAAACTGGTCAACTCTAACAGGGCAGTGAAAGTGCCAGAGGAAGTGCAATGAGAAGCAAAAATGCCAAAATGGCAACACCAGAGCTTGCCAGAGAAATCTAAGTTGTGTTTGGCCAGGATACAGGAGTTAATGGAGACGTTTGTGGAGGTGCAGCCCCTGAGGAGACTGAGGTGAAGCACTTAACCTTCAGTTTTGAGCAAGTATGGATCAGTGCGTTCAATACTCAGAAAAATGAGGTGAAAACTGGGGCCCACAAGGTCCCTACTCATCTGTCTACCTATATCGTGGTCCCAATAAGCAGGCAATTGTAGCTCCTTCCCTAAAGCCTTTCAAACTTCTTGCAAAGTTATTTTAGAAAACTTATTACCTAGGATTAGAAGTGATTAAGGGAAATGTAGTCCTGAGCTATATCCAAATTAATATAACACACTTTATTAACTTAAAACATTAGATCAAAATTCCAGCCATGAGGGCTGGGGTTGTGGCTCTGTAGTCAAGTGCTTACCTAGCGTGTATGAGACACTGGGTTCGATTCTCAGCACCACATATAAATAAATAAAATACAGATCCATCAACAACTTGAAAAAATTAAATTAACAAAGATTCTAGTCATGAAGAAACGTAAAGAATAAAACACAAAACAGCAATCAGATGACACTATAATCTTTCAAGGCCTTTGTACTAATTAATTTCTACTAAAACTTTTTATTACACATGAAAAGCTTTGATAGTAAACACTGATATTCTCAAAAACAGTTGGTACTCTTAGTTTAAAGGGAAGGGGGGAATTATTGGGTAGGCAGCTTGCAGTATCCAGATGAAGAAAATGATGAAGGCGAAGATGAAGACGACAAAGAAGGAGGCGAAGGCAAAGAAGAATACAAAGAAGAAGAAGGTGCCCATTCTGTAAGTTCAAACTTAAACAACAATTAAAAAAAAAAAAAATCACCATTTCCCTGCCTGCCAAAAAAAAAAAAAAAAGAATGCACTTGAACCAGACTCAATGATATATGCCTGCACTCCCAAACTTAGGAGGCTAAGGCAGAAGTCTAGGAGTTACAGGCCTGGACAACATAGCCAGACCCTGTCTCAGAGGAGAAGCATACACACACGTACACACACAATCTCCCAAGAGTCCAAAAGACTTTGTAATGGAAATAACATTTACATCCCAGCTAAAGAAACTCACCTCATACTCAAAAGTATGTCATAAAAGCTGAAAAGGGAAACATATAACCTTAAATCTTCCTATTAGAAAACACTGAAAATCAATGATCCTCTAGAAGTCCACTTTAATGAGGCACTGATCTTCTCTTCTAGTTCAAATTTTGAATTTTCTTATACAAGTGTTGAGAGCCACAGCCAAGTCAAGATGGTGCCTGGCACTTTGCCAGGAGGAGTGGTTTGAGAAGTAATGCCAGCAAGCTATTAAGATGATAAGGATTCCTTAATGACTGACTGCTGTATCTAGATGATGTTAATTGAGTTAAGCTGTGTCTAATTACTAATATGGTGAAGATTCCTTAATGACTGATTGCTGTAACTGGATGATGTTAATTGAGATAAGCTGTGTGTATTTAGTTGGGTATATATACCTCTGCTGTTCTGAATAAAGTGGCTCCCACCGTTTCAACCTTCACAGGTTGCTTGTCACCCCCCAGCTACTTTGCACAGTCCAGCTGGACTGCGGCACAAGTTATGTTCAAAATCAAAAGGTTTTACCATATAGCTTACAAACACAGGGTTTCGATCAGTTGTCCTCAACACTTCAATGAAAAGAATGAGTGATAATCTCCTACTTTCTCACATTTATAGTGTCTCTAAAGTATGAGACTTCACAAATTGCATTAGTTCAGAAAAAGTCTTGCAAAGATTCCCTTACTTCTTACATTTATATGTTGTCCCTTGTGTGACTTTTCACATGTCTTCGAAAGTAGGCTGGACCAATAAAGGCTTTCCCACATTTTTCACATTTATAAGGTTTCTCTCCAGTGTGAATTCTTGTATGTACTGTAAGATAGGAAGAACTAAAGAAGGCTTTCCCACATTCCTCACATTTATATGGTTTCTCTCCAGTATGGCTTCTCACATGTCTCCCAAAGGATGAGGGAGAACTGAAAGCTCTTCCACACTCCAGACATTCAAAGGGTTTTTCTCCAGTGTGCATTCTTGCATGTATAGTAAGATATGAAGATTGTCGAAATGCCTTCCCACATTCCTTACATTCATAGGGTTTTTCCTCAGAGTGGGTTCTCATGTGGATACTAAGCGGTGAGAAACAAATAAAGGCTTTCCCACATATTTTACATTCATAAGGTTTCTCTCCAGTGTGAGTTCTTCTATGTACCGTAAGATGGGAAGAACTAATGAAGGCTTTCCCACATTCCTCACACTCATAAGGCTTTTCTCCACTGTGAGTTCTTAGGTGTTCAGTGAGGGATGAGGAACGACTAAAGACCTTCCCACACTCCTTACATTCATTTTGCACCTTACCATTGTGATCTCTCACATGTGCTTTAAAGGATGAGGGACAACTGAAGGCCTTCCCACATTCCTTACATTCATAGGGTTTCTCTCTACTTTGATTGTTCACATGTGTGATCAGGGAAGTGGAAAGATAAAAGGCTTTTCCACATTCCAGACATTCAAAAGGTTTCTCTCCAGTGTGTTTTCTCATGTGGATACTTAAGGAGGAGGGGCAATTGAAGGTTTTCCCACATTCCTTACATTTATAGGGCTCCTCTCCAGTGTGTGTCCTCACATGTATAGTGAGTTTTGAGGATTCACTGAAGGCCTTCCCACACTCTTTACATTCATAAGGCTTCTCTCCTGTGTGAATTCTTATATGTCTTTTAAGATGAGAGGAATAGCTAAAGGCCTTCCCACATTCCTTACATTCATATGGCTTATCTCCACTATGAATTATGTTGTGTTTGGAGAGTGATGAGGAACAACTAAAGGCCTTCCCACATTCCTTACATTCATAGGGCTTATCTCCACTGTGAATTCTTTTGTGTTCTGTGAGGTGGAAAGAACTACTGAAGGTTTTCCCACATTCCTTACATTCATACTTTGCCTTTTTACTATGAATTTTCATATGTGCTCTGAACATGAAGAAACAATTGAAGGTCTTTATACATTCCTTACATTCATATGGTTTTTCTTCTGTAGGAGTTTTCACATGCTTCTTAAAATAAGAAAGAAAATGGAAGGCTTTCCCACATTCCTTACACTGATAGGGTTTGTTTCCAGCATGAGATCTGGTGTGATTCTTAAGTGATGAATGAGACAGGAAGGACTTTCCACACTCATAGCATTCAAAGGATTTGACTTCAGTAGTTCTCTGGAGCATGAGATCTGAAAATTGTCCACATTGATTTTCTTCATTGTATTCACAGATGTTCTCTACCACATGACTTTTAAAAATAAAAGACAGATTATTAGTAATAAAATTTACCATTTTCAGTAAATATGTATGCTTTCTGCCCCATCAACTTATAAGCTAAAAGTTCTCAAGAAGGCTCTTCCACAGCCAACATTGTCACTGAGCTTTTGACTTATATGATTTTTCAAATAATTCTGTCAAACCAATCTATGTGTCAAACCTTCAATATGTCAGTATCATTTGTAGGAAAAACTCTCTAGACAAAATTCTTTGTGAAAGTACAATTTTTTTTTTATTTTGAATTTGAATTCTTTTTCTTTTTTTAAATTTATTTTTTATTTGCATGTATTCCATTAGTTATAAATGAGCGCAGAATGCATTTTCATACATCATACATAAATGGAGTATAATTTCTCATTCTTCTGGTTATACAGGATGTAGAGATATACTAGTCATGTAATCATATATGCACATGGGATAATAATGTCCAATTCATTCTACTATTATGCCCAAACCCCCTCCCTTTCCCTCACTCTCCTCTGTTTAATCCAAAGTACCTCTATCCTCCCAATCCACCCACCCCATTGTGAATTAGCATCCACCTATCAGAGAAAACACTTGGCCTTTGGTTCTTTGCACCAGCTTCATCCATTTACTGGCAAATGCCATGATTTCATTCTTATGAAAGCAAAATTTTTGACCTAGGTTTATGTTGAAAATGCTTCTTTTTAAAAAATATTTTTTAGTTATAGATGGATGCATTATCTTTATTTTGTTTATTCATTTTTATGTGATGCTAAAGATTGAACCCAGTCCTCAAATGTGGAAAGCAAGCACTCTGCCTGCCACTGAGCCACAATCCCAGTCCAAAATATGTTTCTTAAATCTCAAAATTGTTTCCTGATGCACTACCTTCTCTTATATGAAGGGCACTCACCTTAAACCTTTCTCATGGCTGTTGTTCCAATCATTCACATGATGGGTGTCCTGGTTTTCATGTAAAATAGAGGGGCAGGAACCACTTCTTTTGAATCTCACTATTTTCTGTTCATTGGATATTTTTTCTCCATTGTTATCTTGAAGAGCAACTAATTCCTTAGTATTAAGTAGAGACTCAAATTCTGAAGCGAAAAAATAAAACAAAATAAAGTTACCTATGAGCAAAGGACTTTGAGCAGTGCAGCTGTTTCAGGACTTCATTATTAAAAGGCACAAGGGTCAAACCTAAAACAATTCACTAAAAAATATTTCCATGAAACCATAGTATGGTAACATTACCATAGTATGGTAACACATGCTTGTACCCCCAGCTACATAAGTGGCTGAGGTAGGAGGTTCACAAGTTCAAGGACAGACTCAACAACTTAGACCCAGTCTCAAAATTAAAAAGGGTATGGGATATAGCTCAGTGGTAAAGCACTCCTGGGTTCCCCAGTGCTGAAAAATAAAAAATAGTGCTTTGAAGAACGACAGTGATGGTAACATGACCAGTAGAAATGATTGGGACCAGAGACATGAAAAATTGTGCTCCATATGAAATGCATTCTGCTAATATGTATAACAAATTAGAACAAATACATAAATCATTTTTAAGAAAGAAAGGTTATGTTAAAATTTTTCTGTTAACTTGATATTTCATATTAGTATAGAAAATATATTAAAATTTTTCATTAATAATTTTAAAAAATTATTAGGAGAGGAAAACAGAAAGGATAAAATACACATACCAAAAACAAACTTTAAAAAAGCACAAATGAGATCTTTGCCAAGATCAAGGAAAGTATGAGAGGACAGATAAACAGTCAAAATAGTCCTCTGAGGCATGTGTGGATAATGAGCCTCCTCAGACAAAAAAAAACTTTTGCTTTATTTCTATTTTATTTTTGTCTCCTCCCAGGCCAGTTTCTCCCAGGGATTCTTGCCTTCCTGGTGCTGCTCCAGGATAAGTTCTGTGTTCACTGTCTGCAGTTCCTCCTCTTGTTCCCACTGGGAGATCAGATTGGGTGTGAGTAGTGGGTACCCTGCATACG